AAATGAGATTTCTCATTGGCCACTCCTTCTGTGGGATGGATGGACTTATTTGGATGGTATGTTCCAGGCATCTAATAGATCTAGAGCAGGGGTGTCAAACCTGCCGTGTCATGTGACGTGTCGTGATATATCATGACTTTCCCCCCTGGGGTGGGTGTGGCTTCTGCGTGATGCATCTGGCCTGTGGGCCGGCAGTTTGACACTCCTGACCTAGAGGATTTCAAAAGGCACTTGGGGAGTTTCCCTAACAACTGGTAAGCAATTCTGCTAGGTATCTGGAATTCGGAAATTCATGCTTGCTTTCTATTTTGGGCTAATTTTGGGCTTATGAGAACTTCTGGAAGATAAAGCTGTAGAAGAGATACCTGGAGCACAAATGGAGGAAGATGAGGGAACATTATATTCAAGCCTCCATTGCAGGAATAAGAACAGTGAGAAATTACATTGAGAAACGGCATTGGACATTTGGTTCAATGACTTCTGTAAGGTTGTCAGTTGGAGAGAATGACTAGTGTTATCATTCTGGACTTCCTGCAAGGGTTGGGAGTTGCATTCCTTCCAGACCAGAGTCCCAGCTGATAGCAGTGAGAAAGATAAGGTCTCTCCCCTGTTGTCTATGGGGCTGCCATTGAAACATCACCCAGAAATTGGTTCAAAAGGCAGCAGCCCAGTGAAGCAGAGTTGCTACAGTCATTTAAATCCTATTTTGTAGTAATTTGACTGCCAATATATTTCTGAGTGCAATGGAATGCTAATGTATAATTTCCTTTAGGTAGCTTCAGGGCTGCTCTCCTCCTTCAGACTCTTGATCTGTTGATTTTGAGGGTAGAGTCTCACAGGCAATGTTTCTTGTTTGCAGTGCCTGCACTGTGGGTGAGGGGTCCTTATTGCTGGCCTTCAGGAAATTATTAAACAATGAGTTATCCAAAAGGCATTGATGGAATAGTGTATTTGTGGCTATGCTTACTATCATTGTTTTAATTCTTAATTTTATCTGTTTTATATATCAGTTTTATGTGACTCTACTGGCAGTTGCTTGGAATTACAGCAGTATAAAATTACAACATATTATAAATATATTGCTTCCCTTTATTTCTTATACATATTTGAAAGAGGCAAAAGAAAAAGAAAAAGCATCTTTATATTTTACTATTCACTATAACAATGTTCTTCAAAAATGATCAAGTGCTGGTCCCACTGACTATACTGTAGAGAAACTGAGATTTTCAATTCTGGTAGAACAGTGACACTTAGTGGATTTAGGAGATATTAATTTTTATTTCCTGACTATTTGCTTATATGAGAAAGGGAATTAAAAAAATAGAGAAATGGAAAACGGAAAGGGGGGCATTCAAGAAAAGGTATAATGACAGAAGCCACAAAATAGCTATTTCTACATACATAGCTTTAAATATATCGGTATTTAGGAAACTCATTTTTTGAGGGATTTCCTTTTAGGGGTAAAATTCTAAGTGAAGTATCCTGGCCAACCCAACTGTAATAATCATCCTTTTTTTTTTTTTTTGGTAGGCATGAATGAGAGGCAACATTCCCTTCTCCCTACAGGTTATAAAAGAACAAACAGACCAATGAGCAGGCCTAGGGAAAACAAAGGAAATGTGTCTCCTTCAGCCTGTTGGGACACTTGCCCCTCTTTTGTGTGTATTGGGGGGAGGGAGTAATGGTGAAGGCTGAAGCAAGCAAGTTTTCTTTTCCTTAAGGAAACTGATTTTTATGCTTTTGGGGTAGGTGAAGCACACCCGTTAGTTTGCTCTCCTACCCTGCATGCCATTAGAAAAGGTACAAAGACTGTGCAAGGTATATAAGTAAAACAAGGAAACTCTTCCACTGATTTGCTGTTTCACTCAGTTCTTTTCCCTTGCATGGGGTTGTGCTAAGACAGTGGTTCTCAACCTTTCTAATGCCGCGACCCCATAATACAGTTCCCCATGTTGTGGTGACCCCCAACCACTTATACATCACCGGGTGCCGGGGCGTGGCCAAAGAAAAGGGGGAAAAAATGGCGGACAGCCTTGTTTGGCGACCCCCATGAAATGGTCGTTCGACCCCAAATGGGGTCCCGACCCATAGGTTGAGAACCACTGTGCTAAGAGAAACAATATTTCTTACTAGGAAGCAATGCCTGGCTTTAGGCCTTTTTTAAGGTTTAAGATATGAAGCAAGGCATTATCTTCTGCGGTTTCTCAACTTACTCGCCGGGGGGGGGGAGGAAGGTGAATATACCAAGCAAAGGAAAGAGCCAGACAATGCAGATGAAACAAGCTCCTCCATCTTGCTGTGAAACTGCATCTTTCTTTCTAATATTAATGAGGAGAAGCTTTGAAAACTGAGTGTGAACCATGGAAAGATATGATGCTTGCTAACAATGACCCAGCACATCTGCCCAAAAAGATGCAACGTACAATTCTTTTTTCCTGAGTCAACTCCTAAATAGCAGACATGAACATAGTGATCTTACCAGATGTCTCGAATGATTGATTGAACAGGATTTTTAAATTTAGGTCAAGGGCTACAGATTGCCTTAAGTTAGAGAAGGTACTTTTTCTTGTCTCCCCATCCCTAGCCTAAAATCTGACTGGGTCAATTTAGTCCATGGTGCTGTTTAGTGTTATACATGCAGGCATCCCTGCCAACTCACTCCTACTTTCTAGAGGCTGCATATGGAAAAGGCAGTGAATTAATTTTATGACTTACTTACATTCTAAGTGGCAATGAGGTGAGGAACTAGTCCAACCTGTCATATTAGCCAGTGAGAAAAGACTAGAATAAGATCAGCTCTGACATGTCACATGACGCGGCGAGTTTGACACCCGTGATCTAACTCAACCTCTGATTGTTGCAGGAGCCACTTCAGCATCAAGACTGTGGCAAAAGGATACTTCACATTCTGCTGGCTGACAGCTCATACAATCAGGCAGTGATTCACATAACAACTGCAGCAAGAAAGGTCATAAAATAAGGCAAAAGTCACTTAACAATTGTCTTGCTTAGCAACAGAAATTTTGGGTGTACTTGTGTCTCATATTTTCCTGCCCAAGTTCAGAACTTTTATCATTCTCCCTGCTAAATTCCATCCTATTCATTTCAGCTCACTTCTCAAGCTTCTATCTGAAGTATTAGCAACCCACTCAGCTTTGGGCCATCTGCAGACTTTTTAAATACAGGTATCCCTTGATCTACTATCAGTCACTTGGAGACTGATCAAAGTTATAATGAAGCTACCTTAGGGCTAGTTACGACCCGGATTTGAAGTTCTGACAGTAACCCCCCCTCCAATCGTCATATGACCAAACTTCTAGTGCTCGGCAACTGGATCACATTTGTGGCATTTGCAGCATCCTGCAACCATGTGGCTGTGTTTTACAATGGTTTTGCCAAAACCCAGAATTTACTGTTTTCTGCAAAACTGCATCCATAGCGAACCATTGGTTTGCTTAACAATTGCTACGTTTGTTTAATGATGGCAACAAAAAAGATAGCAAACTGTGTTGGTCACAAGATGACTTATGATCATGACTTATGACTTATGACCAGACTCCATTATATAAATCAGGGACTGTCTATATTGCTTCAACATCCCCATCTAGCTACTGATAAAAAATGTTGAACAGCAAAGTCCTCTGGCCCTTCAGAGAGGTATAATCTTCCCTGAAGCTGGAACCATTAATGAGCATTCTTTGGTGTGGTGGTTCACCCAATACGAGCCTATCATCTAGCTTATATTTTAGCATTTTGTGTAAGGGAATATAATTAGCACTCCATCCAAGGCTTTGCTGAGTCCAATTACAATCTGTCTACAGAATTCTCCTAATTTACTATGTTAATAACTCCATCAAAGAAGGAAATAACAACGTGGGATGGTATTACAACAAATACATGCTGGCTCCTATTAACTGTAGCATACTATCAATTGCTCACAAGCACATTGTAATAAGTATTTCTTCCTCCTGTATTGCACAGAGGGATATGGGGCATAATCTAAGTGCAACATTCCTGAAAGGAAGGACTGGTAACCAAGCGTGGGGTAGTGGTGAAGATGTTAGTCCCAGACCCAGGAGACAGAGGTTCAAGTCTAGCTTCAGGCATGGAAAGTCACTGGATGAAGATGGGTTAATAACTCCTTCTCAATCAACCTATCCAGCAGGCTGTTTTGGAAGTATACCATATATGGAAATCTATACCACCACCATGGGTTCCTGGAAGAAAGGCAGGGTACAGAACAAACAATCATGGGAGACAAAACATCCTGCTCATGGTTTAAAAACAGCTGCAGCTGTGGAACATACACTTCTGGGGGCATCTGGGGCCACCTGCCAGTACGGGACAGCAGTGACTATTCAGATTATCTCTTGATAATTTCTCTGGGCCTCTTCTGAGGACATCATATGTCATGTATGTGAAATGAGTGGTTATATAAATGTAATGAATAAATAAATAAATCTGAGGCCACCTGCCAATGCAGGACAGCAGTGACACCTCCTATTATAACTTCTCTGGGTCTCACCATCAGCTCCTTCAAAGAGAAGCCACGAGTAGCAAGCAAAGCAGTTGCTGTTTTTTTCTCCAGGCAGCATTGTCATCTCAGTTTTTTCCTACTGCAATGCCCCGTGAAGTTGTGCAAAAGTCAGAAGTAGAGCTCTTATCTTTTGCACAGCTCTACTTGGTAGAGTAAGCTTTCTCTTTCGCACACTTCCAAATCCCCAAATTCCTAAGCGGTTCTCCTTTGCCTATTTCTTGTCAGCTTGCGCTAAATGAGCTGGGAGCGGAGGAAGAACGGCCGTTCATCGCTTACTGGGGCGCCTTCCCTGTTGCAAAAACGAAAACCAAAAAAGCAGTACGTGAGGGGGTTCCCGTTCCTCTTCTTAGAGGGAAAGAGCCAAGAGAAGGTAATGCGGGGACGCGTCCACGGCCTCGATTCTGCCCCGCGAGCGGGGGCGCGCGCGCGTCATTGGGGACCGCCGAGAAGGAGCGCGTGTTACCTTCCCAGACGGCGTCTCCGGTCTCGAGCCGCCTGAGGAATTTGTACCAAAAGGTATTCGCGGCCTCTTCCTCGGGCAGCGCCACCTCGCCGAGCCACAAGACTGGTTCTTGAGCAGGCAAGGGAGCCAGCGGCCGGCTGGGCTTCATGGTCAGCGCGCGCTTGGGGTCCCATTGACCCAGCTCCGGCCGTGACCCTGACACGCAAAGCACCGTCCCGCCTTCAGCCAGACGGGCGGGAAGAATCACCCCGAAACGAAACAGCATGGGCGTCCTCGGAGCCAGGAGACGGAGAGCAAAGACCCTGGGGGGGGGGGGGGCAGAGAAGAAGGGGGAGGGACGCACTCAGGGAGGTCCCCGTTCCATTGCGGGGTGCCCGTGACGTCACCGGCCGCCGCCACGTTCTATCGAGCGAATAGGGAGGTGATGGACAGGATTGGTCGGTGAAAGCCACGTGATTTGATCGGCAGAGAAATTTCTCAAGTCAGAGCGCTTTCAAAGCCGCGTCTTGTCTTCGGCCTTTAACTCTCCGTTCGATCCCTGAATGATCCGGTTCCGTCGAGTCTGTATGCTCTTAGGAAAGCCGCCGTGTCCTATAGTGAGCTCCGCTCCGCTCCGCCTGCAGGAGGGGAGCAAGGAAAGAAGTGACCCGCGTTTCCCTTTCTCCGCCGACCCCTAGGCAGGAGGGGAGACTCGGAGGACAGTGGGCAGGCAGGAGGAAGAATCGGCGCCGATTTAGGAGAATTTCCTGGGGACTTGTTAACAAAGACCCAACCAGACAGGAGCTGCTTAGATTTGTCGAGATTAATCAAGCGGACCTGGAGATATCCTAAGTAGCTTTCCCACTTCCAAGCAGAATAAATGTCTTGCTGCCAGATACTGAAGCAAGGCTCCCAAATCAAAGGTACAAAAACAGAAATCTCGCGGATCCCAAAGTCCTTCCAAAAGTTGCCGCGCATGTATAAATTTTAATGTAATGGGAGGTTTTTTAAAAAAAAATCCGTGGGAGTAAGCATCTCTATTGTGTTTAAATTGTTATTTAAATATATTTTGCTAAACCCGCCTACCGGTTGAAGGGTACTCCGTCTGTATGACATTTAAAGACCAAGTAAGGCCTATTCCCCCCAAACTTGTACCCACCCGAGGAAGCAATTCAGATCTCAGAATGGAAGTGTTTATTCTCCATAAATGATTACTTTTCTAAGACTGAGATGAAAGGATAAAAATACTATCATTTAGTGTAATAGGTTTCTTATATTCCTCAATTTCAAAACTCATGAGACCTGATGATGGAACCCACCTTACAGTAGGTTTCTTGAAACCCTTCTTCCGGTCTCCTCATATATTACTGGACAACGCATATAATTTCACAGTGTATTCTCAAATAATTTATTAAAACTAGAATGAAGTATGTAGAGATACACAACAAATCTTACTACGAAATCAGGAACTCGTTTTGCAAACCTAATACAATGATGCCATTTGATCAAATGTAGTTTTTCATAATCCCATCTCTTTATAAGATTATATCCAAATAATTATGCACTTTTGCTACTGCACGTTTGCTTGAGAAAAATATATTTATATACTGTATTTCTTGCTAAACACCTGTATTGGATATTATACAATAGTCTTATAGAGGTAAAGGATCCAAAATTAAATGTACGTGATACGTAACATTTATTGGCAAAGAAACACCTTTTGTTATTTGGACAAAGCTTTATTAAATTTGTAAACATCCTTAAGGAAATGCAGAACTGGTTTTGTAAAATAATGAAAATTGCATTAAGATGGCTACTTAGAATTGAATTGTCAAACCCTAACAAAAAATTTTAAGGCCAAAATAATTCCAAGCCAATGTATCAGTAGGTACATTTGACTGAAGTTCTTATTACTTAAAGGAGTTGCCAACTATTACTAAATCTTCATTTATTTCCAAGAAAGATTGTGAATATTGGCTGTTTCAATAAAGTCATAACCCAGGACATTCTATGGTGTAGTGTTTTTTAACCAGAATCTTTTCATGTTACTAGGACTTAAATTATTACATTGTAGCTCACACAGCAGTACAGAAATATGGACAGTTCTAAAGAGTTCACAGGATTGATCAACATATCAAGTCTAAACACTAATTGTTAGAAGATCATATTGCTTTCACTTCTAAAATATCTGTTTTTAAAAATCTCATGATTTTAAAACCTATAGATTATAAACAAACAATTTATGACATATTCTCACAACTGACAAATCATAGGGACTTTAGTAGTAACAGGCAATATTATTAACTATAGTGCTAGTGCTAGAATGAAAAAAATGTATTTAGCAACTAATGCTTTCAAAATACATTTTTTCTTCATAGGTTTTATCTTTTTAATTAATGACATACTGAGCTATAAGAAATGCTAACTCCAGCAATAAAATCATATTTGATGCTTCACCTCAACTATTTAAGAATGGAGATTAAGGAAAAATTTATTTCCCAAATTATAAACAAAAATCATGTACTAAACAAATGTCAAGTGTTTTTATTAGTTATACTAAACATTGCAAAACAGCATTAAGTGAACATTAAAACAAAGTAATGGATTGCCAGTAAGAAAAACAGCTGTATATGTGAAGTTGTAAAGGCAATTCAAATGGAACAAACTAGGAAAGGTTTCAGTGACTTTAATATGGAAAGTATACTATTGTAGAGGAAATTAAGTATTGACAAACTACTACTTTGGAAAACTGCACAGCAGTGTAAAATTGTATTTAATTGTATTCCTGCTTGCGAGAATATTTTAATATTTATTTATTCTTTACAGCAATAATGTTTAATAACTCAGGAATAAAACAAGAAACAGTATTGGAATTTGAAGGCAGAAATGCAAGTAGTATTAAGAATGAACTGTTCAAAATGCTTAATGTAAACAAATAAACTAAGCATTCATTATAGGTTAATCCACATTTCTTTAGAAGCCAAGAGATTTCTTGAATACTGCATGAAGCCTTTACAATTACAATATACGTACTCCTTACATAAGGGCTGGGGTATATTTTGCCCATCTGTTCTTGAGGAAAAGGTAGAATGGTTTATGTATTGGTAAAATATGTGATGAACAATAATATATGCATAAACAGCTTCCAACACCTGTAGAATGAATATTCTTGGTTGTTTTAGGTTCATAGTACTTTTGCAAATGAAATCTCTATACGTGTCAGGGTCATGTCTCCTGGCTCTAGGCATAAACCTCTGTAAAAAAAAATCCAATGTTATCAAAACTAATATGATACTGATGTAACGTTCATTCTTTTTAAACTGCTAAAACTAGAAGTGTTTTTGCAGCTGAAGATTCCACCAATTGAAGGAAACTTTTTCTCCTATGTTCTTCAAAGAGAAAGGCAGCATTGTGAAAATAATTAACTGATCCCAAGATCCAGGCATTATAGATAATAGCTATATAAAACATATTCCTTAATGATCTAGCTATATGGCACCAGAGAATGAGACTTAGCTTTTTTAATAGAACTGCTTAATAAGACAATTACTTTCCAGATTAAATTTATGTCAACATAGTCTTAATCAAGTATATTTAAATGATTTAATTATATATTGCCAATATATAGCTAACTTTCCAACACTTTCTTCTTTAAAACTGAAAGATTGTATTATTTTTAAACAAACTTGTTTTTTTAAAATTTGTGGCACCAAGCTCAATAAACTAACTGTATAAGTATTAAAGCTTTTGAATAACATCAACAAAGGCATTTTGTAAGTAGAAAAAACAATCACCAACATTTCCTCATTATGGAAGACAATGAAAAATATGGAGTTATGAAATAAACATTTAAAATACACTTTATCCAATGAATTAGTTCTCATCTTATAAAGATGGCATGTCAAGAGCACTATCCTAACCACATTTGCTAGGACAGAAATTCCAATGGAATTTAGTGTACTGAGAATAAGTCCTAAACTCTCTAAAATAGCCTTGAAACCACATAGTACATCCAGACTTGTTAACATAACAGAATGTATCTCAACATGATAAAACTTAAGCCCTTTGTTAAATGTATTAATCTAAATATTATGAAGTCTGTATAGCTAATTACAGCAAACAATACATTTTTTTCAAGATTACCTTTTATTAATACCAAACAACGAAAAAAGAAGTGTATTGATCCAAAATTCTAGCCTAGGTATTTAGAGCCTGAAATAAAATGGAATTTTGTTCCATTGAACTGCTAATAGAAGTTTATGTTGAATATCAAGAGAAGGTACGATTAGAAAAAAAAATCTATCTCGGGATTCATTTGATAGGATTTTGCTGCATTAAATTAGAAGTTTTGATCCTAACTCCAAATATGCTCCTATTCATTTGCATTTAACACTAAAATCACACTTTGCAATCTTAGCAAGAAATGACATTAAATAACACTGTATCAGCTTATAGGAACACAGCAATCCATAGAATGAAAGCAATCCATAGAATGAAAAGACTCATCAAAACATATGCTGCTAAATTTCAACTAGCATTCAATGTTACATTCAAATTTGCAAAGAGACAAATTATACAAAGACTTCTAGCTTGGATGAGCATGTCTCTTGAACTCAATAAAAATAAATGGATACAGTTGGTCAGGGAAACCCCAAAAGGGGAAAAAAAAAAAAACTACAAATGATAAAAAGTCATACAGAACTCCCCTGACCAGCAAGTTCCATTTTTAAGGCAATTTTTGTTCATTCTAACCAGACCATATTATAAAAAAATAAATGCCACTTCAAAACATTATGTACATTATGACAAATTTATCCAGAAATCATATTTAGTAAATTAATAAAGTGTCACAAATTATCATCCAGAGGTTACTTCAGGTGCTTGAGTGTGCAATTAGAATTATTCTTCATCTTTAAAGTACAGGCTTCAAGACTGAGCGCAACGACCGTCCTTCTTTTGTTAGTTCTCTTGTGACACACATACATGGCAGTGGCACAGCTTCCTCCCGTTTCTCTACAGCATTGTAACTGCATTTCTTCAAATGATCAGCCATGCTTACAATGTCCGCAAATTTCCATTCATTTACAGTACAAAAAGCTGTGCTGAATCGCCATACCTAAAAAAATAAATTTCTCTTAGCATGATGATATATTTATTAGGACTCATTCATGTGCAAAGCCATGTAGAACTCGCATTTACAGCACAAATGTTAAACATAGACTAGATCAGGGGTAGGCCACCTTGGCTCTTTTATGACTCGTGGACTTCAACTCCCAGAATTCCTGAGCTAGCATGCTAAGGGGAAAGGAAGAGGTTTCCAAGCTGAGCCATGCTGGCTCAGGAATTCTGGGAGTTGAAGTCCACGAGTCATAAAAGAGCCAAGGTGGCCTACCCCTGGACTAGATGTTTTTTTTTTTTAAAAAAAGAATCTCCAAACATCTTTTCCTATGAAGGATAATGTATAAGCATTAAAGCATTTAGTATAAGCATTAAAAAAACCCATGCAAACTAATATGGAAATGTGATGACATATATTTACATGTATTCATTTATAAAATGATACAAATGTATTGGCTGATAAGGCTTTGAAAAAGTGACCTGATTTTCTAAATTTCTGTTTGACTGCAGGGTTTTGCCATTTTTAGGACACACACTTTTCTTCTTTAATTCTCTTAATTAACTTGGCTGTAATTAGCTCATCCAGATACGAAAAATCTGGATACAGAAAGAGCTAGTGAATATTGTAGGGCAGATACCAGTATGCCCATCCCCTGAAAGTTGAACTCTTTCTTGTATTTATTATTGTATTAACTATATTTAGTTATACTGTTCTCCAAGTTGTTTCTATTTCACTGCTCCCATACTCTAGACACTTGCCTCCCACTTAGGACCTGAGAGAGAAATATCGGGACTCAATCTCTATGCAAAGATCATTCCAATTCAAAATAGAGGCAAGCAAGTTCTCACAATTAAATATACAAACCTTTTCTTTTATTTGCCATGAAAAACTTCCATCTGGATATAACCTCTTTTCCCACAACAAGATGACCATTCCGCGTGCCTGAAGTAAGCTTCCGCATACATCCCTCATTAATCTTGATACTTGTGACAGCTGACATAAACTGAAACCATCTAGAAAACCTGCAATGTGTTGTAGGACCTCAAAAGGAAGATTACTGAGATTGTCACTATGCAGCCCTAAGCAGCATCTCTTATCAGGCTCTGCCAACACAGTTGATATAGAAGGCTGAACCCCAAAGGACCGAAGATGCCGATCGTGAATAATTTTTGCTCCTTGTGTTGAAGGACAAAATCTGCGTTGAGAATATGTACATCCATAATATGCCAAAGGACATCGCTGCTCCATCCAGCCATTTAGGCCAGCATGAATATCACCGTGTACATTCTTAAAATGTGAAGAAAATTCATTTCGTCTAAACAGCTGTCCGCAAACAAATGTAAACATGGAACGCTTTGTTTGGTATCTAGTCACACATTCTAGTACCAAGTCTAGCCCAAGAGTCTGAAAAGGGCTTGGATTTGAGAGCTGTGGATTTGCATGATCACACGCAGATGCTGAAGCAATTTCCCCTACCATTGTATTTGTGGCCAGAATTGCAGAAGGGAGAGAAAATGTCTGAGTCCCAAAATCAACATGGTATCCATCAATAATACGACAATCTGATATTCCCCTCCCACCAGGAGAATCTCCGAGACAAAACAGCAATGCTGCTGTGATTAAGTCTATTCCCTGAAGGTCCATAGGATCCTCTGTTATTTCCAAATCTGATGTATCTACTGCTTTGTCTTCCTTTGATGCAGATAAACAATAATTTGCCAAGTAATTGTAGGTATGGTGAGGAATTAAAGAAAATACATCAGTTCTGAGTTTTTCTTGTTCTATTTCTCTCTGTAGTAGTTCATCGTTACAGTCATGTGACATATATATGTGGTCAGTGGTGCCATTAGACAAGCTGTGCAGAGGTATTTCATATTTAACTTGTGCTACAGGAACTGAGTTACAAACATTCGCTGCTTTATCACAGGGAGATGCATTGTGAATAATATTTGCTATATTAAATTGGCTGGAATTACATATATTTAGCTCTTCATTCTGTTGCAGTTTCTCTGTGCTTGAATCATCTAGATGAAAGCCATTATATAAAGAGATATTATCATGGCTCATATTCAGTTTGTAGTGTTTTGTAGTATCGTAACAAATGTCACTTGACCCGTTTTGTTCTAATTGTCCATTTTGATTCAAAATATCCAACTTAATACCACCAACTGCTCCCATGCCATTTTCCTCTACAGAATCGTGTTCCACCATGGTTTGAATGCTGCTATTACATATTTGTTCTTTTACACAGAAAT